TCTCTCTCTCTCTCTCTCTCTCTCTTTCTTTCTCTTTCTCTCATTCCCAAGTAATTTTAAAACCAATTAATAGTATTATAGTTCTACCCGATAATCTCGACGAGAAATAGAAAAAGCAGGCACATATAGAGTTCTACAACGTAGCAGCCTTTTGACAACAGGAGATAGGGATTGAGGGTTGAAAAAACAACAACATAACACCAAAAACAAAACGGAAAAAAACAAATGAAAATAGCGGGAAGCCCGTGTCATTAAATTTGTGCTGCTACTGCTGCCAAATAGATTGCTGCTGCTGCTGCTACTGCTGCTACTGCTGCTACTGCTGCTGCTCCTGGTGCTACTGTGCGATGAAAGCGTGAGTGACAGTGAATACAAATATTTGTGTGCGACGATGGTCACTGGCCGGCAACTCTGTGACAGACAAGAGACAAGAGACAGCGTCGTCATAACAATACTGACTGAGCTCATGTCTCCACAAACTATAGGCGGAATATTGTTGTTGCTGTTTCTGCCAACGTTCCGCGGATTTATGAATAAACAACGGAAGTTTTTCGTGATGTAATCATTAAAAATGTCTTTACAATAGCATCAGAGCATTGTTGTGTTTGGTTTTTACTTTATATTTTGAAAAATGAGTGAGGTATTGAATCTGTTGAATCTCCAGAATTCCTGGCGTTGTCATTAATATTTATATTTAACTTTATGAGTTTTGTTTCAATCCTCATGAATATCTCTCACCTCATCTATAGCTTATGATGAGAATGCATACTACAAGTATTAGTTCAACTGAGTACAATGGCTTTAGCTTCTCTCTGAGATTGCTGATTAATGCATACATCAAACATCTGGCTTGTTAGAACCAAGGACAGGTCGTAACAAAATAGCTTGGCGACCATTCAAAACTTCAACTATTAAATGGCTGGGTCAAGGGTAGTAGTAATTTGATAGTAGAACATCTGTTCATTAAGTATCCCATTCTTACAACCTTGTCTTATTTTTTTTTTTTCTGTTTTTTTTTTATTAAAGCTTAATGACTGTCGATTTACACGCACGCTTTCTGGGGCAGTGGGTAATGAATACCTACTACCTACAGCTGTTACCCTTTCTTTATGCCTCTGATTTGTATTTACTCCCTGCCATTCTGAATGTCATAAATAGATTATACATTTAGATCTTTATATGGTTGAGCTTTTCTTCAACTTCAACTGAAAACGTATACATCTATCGCAGTGCGAGAGATTGTGTTATCTGTTGCCGAAGGGAGCTGAGGACACGCCAAATTACTGCTAATGAAGGCGCCAGAAACATACATGGCAATACTATATTGACCCACGGAAACGGAGAGCAGTTAAGAAATGACCCTTGAGGTGACCAGCACCATGAACTTGACGCCGAGGCCAGGAGGGAGCGCCTTTGAGTGGCCACTAGTAAAGGACCACGTCAGGGGACAGGGGACACACAGTTTGCTTGCTTCAGCCACCACAGCGAGATATATGAGAGAGAGACAGTCAGAGAGAGAGAGAGAGAGAGAGAGAGAGAGAGAGAGAGAGAGAGAGAGAGAGAGAGAGAGAGAGAGAGAGAGAGAGAGAGAGAGAGAGAGAGAAATAGAGCTGAGAGCGACAGACAAACAGACAGACAGAGAGAGGCAGATACATTGAGAGAGACACTGAAAGAGAGAAATAGAAGGAGAGAGAGTTACAGGGAGAGAGATATAGAAAGAGAGATAGAGAAAGAGAGAGAGAGAGAGAGAGAGAGAGAGAGAGAGAGAGAGAGAGACGGGAAGAGAGACACACACAGAAAAAGAGAGGGAGATACAGAGAGAGAGAGACAAATACAGGGAGAAGGATACCGAGAGAGCTGTACAGATACAGAGAGAGAGAGAAAAAGAGAGAGAGAGAGAGAGAGAGAGAGAGAGAGAGAGAGAGAGAGAGGCGAAGGCCGCTGCAGCGGGCGCGGGAAGAGCCGGGACCAGGACCCCTGTGTGTGTGCGGCCCCCGACTACATAGCATACAACTCCACAGCCCGTGCCTCGGGTCCTTTCCCTGGTGTCACGTGGGTTTGTTGTAGTAGTCGCAATGGAGTAAAGCAGTTATTTTGCCGCGCCGCGCTCTTCCCAGTCTTGTGTGACCGACATTAGTTTGGCCCGCTGTTGTGAGAGGGAGTGGTGGCGGAGTCTCTCCGCTCTCTGGACTGTGGACGTACGTTTAGGATTTTTACAGCCTACGTTCTTGACGCCACCGAGTCTTTGGTGTTTGACAGTATCCCTCTCACCGTGCGTGCGTGTGTGTGTGTGTCTGTGTGTCTCCATTTGGACCGGAGACCTGCAGTTCGTTTGTTGATCTTTTTTCTTCATTCGCTTTTGTGCAAGTTGTGCACTGTGGCTCGCCAAGTTTTGTTTTCTTTCCTCTCTCCGCACCTCCTGTTCGTCGTTTCGGTTGAGAGATCGGTACAAAACAAATGTTGACTTCAAAGGACTTCATAATTGGATTGCTCCACTAAGGAATGGTCGGTATCAACTCATTCAGTCACCACAGCCGAAATAGTAGATTCATAGTCAGATCTGCTATGCGACAGGTGGTGAGGATTTGTTTTATACGTCTGGAGACCTTCAGAGACTCAACGAGTTTATTGAAGAGTTGAAGAACTCCACCGTGTGTGTCTTTTTGTGTGTCTTTGTGCGCTCGTGGATGTATAAAGTGTTTCTCCGAGGTGTTTTACGAGGACAGAGTGGGTCACCTGTTGTGTTTACTCTCGCGTTTGATCGTGCTGCATGATAGGGGAGTGGGTAGAGGCGCTGCAATGTCACAACAGTGGCGTAGTATACAGATAGTTTTTTCTCTCATTTTTTAAAGAGAAAATAAAAGTGGAGTGGGGGGGGGGGTGGATTATCCATAAGAACCGTGCTTTTGAATTCGAAAATTATCAGAATTAACATACTGTAGTTTTACGTTCATTATCTGTTTTTAACATTATTTTATTTATTTTGTTCATTTATGATAGATTCTATTTGTTTTTCCAGTTGATATAAAGTTAGATATAGAATTGTTATCTCTTGGCGTTCAAATAATCTATTAATCTATTTAGGTGTTAATTTTACCTTTCGGTAAATTTGCCTAGTTGTCTTTTTCTGACCTGAAAACAAGTCAAAGATATATTTCGGGCTGTTGTCGTGTGTTGGAATCATATAATTTTATTTATTTTGTTCATTTATGATAGATTCTATTTGTTTTTCCAGTTGATATAAAGTTAGATATAGAATCGTTATCTCTTGGCGTTCAAATAATCTATTTAGGTGTTACTTTTACCTTTCGGTAAATTTGCCTAGTTGTCTTTTTCTGACCTGAAAACAAGTCAAAGATAGATTTCGGGCTGTTGTCGTGTGTTGGAATCACAGAAAGTTTCGAGTGGTCTGTGATAGTTACTAGTCAGCTAGATCTAAATTTAGATCAATCTGACACCGAGAATAAAAAGATATGACTGTTTCAAAATGTTTAATTTCAGAACAAGAGATTTCTATTTCTGCCCAAACTTAACTTCAGTCAAATGCTTGGATAAAAATGTTATATTAAGTATTATATCGTACAATAGCCTCGATATCACAGCTAATAGATAACATAGACGTTTTGAAACTCATTGTCAGTTGATTAAGATCAGATGCGTAATTTTTCCTTCTTTTTTTTTAGTTCTGTCTTGTCGTTCTTTTTTACCGGTGTCTGTGATGTAGCGTTAGGTGCTTCGCTGTCGCACACAGGAGATCCGAGTTCGACTCCCAAGTGAGAGACATTTTATCACGTATCACGGTCTTTCTGCTGGGATGTTGTATCCCTCTCAGCCCAGGTTGGCCCATATCTAAATTTTAAATTGTGTCGATGGGGCATAAAACACCTAGATCTACGTTATAATTTTAAAATAGTTTTTCTTCTTTTAATCTCATGACGAGAGTCTTCTGTCTTTCGTGGATTCTTTGCGATTTCAAAAGATGAACCCGGTAGTCTTAGCGTCTTAGCTCTGTTAGCATAGCCTGAGATAACAAGGGTGGCATACCATTGACCAAAAAAACCGCATGTTGATTGTCAAAATAGGGCCCTGGAACGTGTCAAAAACACCGGCACTCAAAACAGGTGTAATCAATTACTGGGCACAATCCGGTGACAGATAATGCTCGTGATTTCATGCCCGAAACTGAATGAGTAATGCCGGATACAAATTTAGCCTGTGGTAAATTGCAGCTGTAGTAATTTTTTTTTCAACATAAAAAAAAGAAATAGAAAGAGAATCACGGTCATTGTGAGAAATCCAAACAAAGTTGACACCGATTGCACACGAGCTGTATCACACTATTGCTGCGGGCCTAGATAATATGACGTAGCTTGGGCGAAAACGTAATGTTCTTTTTTTGTACCGAGTCTATACCTCTCTACTTGGATAGATTGGCTTTTAACTTTGAATATCTCATAGCAGAAAATAAAGATGAGAGATTGACAGTTATAAAAGACAGTCTTTACCATAATGATCATACCGTGATAAAGAACTAAATATTATCTTTCTTTGATGTCACGGCATTTCTTTGAACTTCTTACAAAAACGAATGAATAAAAGTGAGTTATTTTAATAGACTTTTAAAATAGTGTTTACCGTAATGTTCATGGTATGATACAGCGAAAAGTGTTTATTACGGGATATTGACTTTGTAGCTATACTTTTACTAAAAGTGGTCATGAAAAAACGTACGGTAATTTTGTAAGTTGTCGTTGATTTGTATTATTTTTATATCGTTACTTTTTGCCTCCCAGTCGCGTGAAAGTGCGGAATAACAATATGGATTCAGAGACTGAGACATCTAAACTGGTGTAACACTGCTCTTTTCGCACACCCCTGTGAATGGCCGTAAATTCATTGCGATAACCAGGACTTTACCATCACTGTCAGGAAAGCCTAGTCTGATCTCTTGACAAGGATATGGTGTTAGTGAGCAACTTTGTGGCCATGCAGAATCCTCGCTCGCTTCTTCCCAACAATTATGTTCCAAACGGATACCCAGAGGGAGGCCTTCAAGAGGACGACATCAAAAAAGGGTTCAGTAACGCCACTTTGCCACATCGTCACCGGCCGAGGAGTCATGACGGACGCCATATTGTCAGTGGCAGCGGTGTGGCGGTGTACAAGGATAACGAGCCCACCTCCACACAACGACACTCGTTAGAACATTTTTCTCCCCCACCGGGAGGCACGGGTTCGTCTCCGTCGACTGTATCATCGTCGTCGCTGTCGTCGTCGTCACATCAGGGACATGTCGTAGAGAATGGCTTTTCGGCTCACGGACAGTCTGCTGAACACTCACAGACCAGAAACCGTCGGGTCGGTCGAGTGGAAAATGGATACCCTCCACAAAAGATCTTCTTTGAAAATGATACTAGTCCTACTCAGCATCAGCACACTCGTCATAATCATCAGTATCATCTTCCCAACCAACGCCATCAACATCTTCATCATCATCATCACCTCAATCAGTCGCTCCCGAGCTACGGTCGTCATGGTGACATTATGCAGCAAAACATGTCGACCCAATCTCAATCCCCGCACAGTATTTACCTGTCGAACCCTCACCAACAGAACGCCTCTCGGACCAGTCACTACGCTAGCATGTCTCTCATCGAGACTAAATCAACAGGTCACAAAGACATCAACAGCAGCAGTGGCAGCAGGGGTCATCACCGGGACATGAGGTCACAAGTGCTGTCTCACAGCCACAGACAGCAGCAGCTACAGACAGACTCGGACGACTCGGATTACGTCAAGATGCAGGTCCGGCCCTCGGACAAGAACAAACTACGCAAACACGTCAACGGACTCACCCGTGGCAGCTCCTTCCCAGTCAGCGACTACCACAAGACCGAGACATCCTCCACGTCATCACACCACGGATCGTTACAAAACACGCTGACCCGTGGTCACTCTTTCCCGTCCAGCCAACAACAAAGTCTGAAAGATTCCCCGCAGCTGTCAAGCAAGGGTTATTTCTACACAGAGCCCGGCGACGAGGCGGAAAGTGTATCAAGAAACACAACACTTGAACCTCCAGCCTATCCTCCAAAAGCCGGCGTGCACAGCTACTCGACCACCCAGACGGCCCCGGAGTCGCCCTACTCCTCCATGACCAGTCTTGACACATGGAGTCCTAACTACGTCAAGCTGAGCTTCTTCCTCAACAAAGCCACACGCGACCCCATTCATCACCCCGTCCCGCGCGGCTCTGGGGAAGGGCCCGTGCGGTCGAAAAGTGTGGCTCAGTTTAGTAACCTCCCTCCCAAAACATCCGGGGAGAAGGACTCTAGTCGTCGCCATAGCAGTCCCGTGAACGACCTGCTGGTGGGCGGGAACGGCGAGAAACAGGCTGAGGAGCAGATCTATAGCAACACGGCTATGATCAGAGCCAGTGGGGGATATGGGGGCGCCACTTTGTCCAAACCGGCGGCATCTGGGTTGTCCAGATCTGTCGACTACCGCGACAGCCCGTCCGCGCGGTCTTCTTTTCAAACGGTACTGTCCGGTGAGGATGACACGAATTCTTTCCGTCCTCGCGGTTCTAGTTTCGGACAGCGGCTGGGGCGCCCCACTATGGGGCCGCATGGAGCAGCGATGTCTGCCGCTGCCATGCAGTCGCCGTACAGCACCCTGCCCCGGAGGGGCGCAGATCAAATCCTTCGGAGGGCGATATCTCACGACCCGCGTGAGGAGACCGAAATGAAGCCGATCGTGGCAAAGACTTCCAGCGACGGAGATATTGAGTCCGAGTACGTGACCTTGGATAGACGGTACATTCCCGGGGGCAACTCTCGTTTGTGTCGTGTGGCGGAGGTTGTGGTCACTCCCGCGTCTGACCCTCCGGCGTCGCTAGAAGTTTCCACAGTTTCCTCATCTTCATTCTCATCATCACCAGCTTCTCAGCACCACAGCACTGCTCAGCATGTCAGCAGTAGCAGCAACAGCAACATAAGTAGTAGCGTTACCAATAAAAACATTAACCAAATCCACAACCCCGTGTGGACTAACAACGCTAACGTAAACGCAAACCACTCGACTACCCCTCCCCCTTCCATTCTAGTCAAGTCTAGCAAAAGCATGCAACAACTCCCCAAAACTAACCTTTTCCCAGAGGCCAAACGGCCGAGTCTGAAAAAGAAAAATAGCGGGGGTACATTGCGCTCTGTAGCGGAGACTTTAGGTTCTGTATTTTCCCCACTGAAGAGCGGCAGCTCTCGGGGAAGCGGAAGTCCGCGCTCTGTGGGCAGTCTCCGTGACACCCCAACCTTTGACCGCGACAACAACAGCGATAACAACAACAATAATAACAATCATAATAGTAGTAGTTGTAACAACACCAGCAACGACACCATCCACATGTTAGCACCCTTTGGCCGGCGCAGCAGCAGCGGCCGCCGCCCATCCCAGGCCCAGCCCGCGGTGGGCAAACTGACCCGGAGTAAGTCTCTACCGGACCTTCAAGCAGATGACGCCACGGCAGCAGCCGCCAGCGAGAACTTCAGCGACGACGAAGACGGCGACGATTTTGGATTTTTGAGCTACCCCATCTCATTTTCATCTTCGTGTTCTTCTGCAGCGATGCACAAGGCTAAGTCGCCGAGCCCGGGAAGTCGTATCATCCCGAAGCGATGGCGGACCAAGAGCAAAGCCACGCCCACGGCGAGCACCTCAGCGGCCATGTGGACGCCGGGACCTCTGGTGAGTACTCACGACCTTAGCTTACGTCACCATACACGTCTTGGCTGTCCTAGAAGTACAAAGTTCTATCTGCTCAGTATCTAGTGTTGTGAAATTTGAGGTCATAGGTTTTGAAATTCACACTAATATTAACATTATGTAAAGCTTTTTCGAATGCAATTCTTTGAATAATATTATCTTGATAACGATTCCGACTGACCTTATAAATTTGATAGAGCAGAGAGAAAATTTAGTTTATGACCGCATGGTCTTAGTAACTCAAAACGGACAAAAATGTCAGATAGAACTTTGTGATTCTAAGGTAGCGACTTGAATCTTTATATCCGAGACTGGGGTACAGAGGAAGAGGCAAGCCCGCCAGAAAGAGATGGGTATAGCTGGTCTAAGAAACATTACACAAAGACAGTTGCCCTTCATTTGATTCCATCATAGAGTCAAGTGATGTACTCCATAATGAACGTGAATTACGTCAGGAGTGCCCAGTCTCGGACATAAGAATACAAGTGTATGGGCTGTTGTTGTTGTTGTTTTTGTTGTTGTTGTTGTTATTGTTGTTGTTTATTTTGATGTTTTTTTGTTGTTGCTGATGTTATTGTGTTGTTGTTGTTGTTGTAGTTGTTTTCCCTTAAGTCCGCAGCTAATATTTATTATAAGTGGCTGTTTTCCTCTTTTCCCTTCTCTTAAGCTCCAGTGTGCTATATTCTACAGCTATTGTCTTTTGATTGACAAAGTAAAGAAGGGTGGAGGGGAAGGGGCAACAAAGAATCAAAAAGCTTAATGAAAATATGATTACGATAGAACACAGAGATTCATTGACCGTCTTCCTTATTACTTTAGTCATGTGAGTCCTGTGAGTGTGTGTTTTGTTTCTGGCGTATCTGTCTCAGGTGAAAATCGTTTTCTGAGTGCTGACGTATTTGTATGTGTTCATTTTTTTAACTCTTTTTTTTTTTTTAATAGTTTATTCGACCGTTTGATAGACCCACTTTATAATGTATCTCTAAGAATGTTAACATCGAGACCAAATAATTAGTTCAAAGTCTCTCTTGCTTGCTACGCACATTAATTGTCTTTCTCATTTGGTAAACGAATGGTTTGCTTTTTAGGTCATGCTGATCTGTTTGTTTACATAAAATTTGGGTCAAGTGAAAGTGAAGAAATAGACGGAGAAACAACAGATAGAGAGAGAGAAAGAGAGAGAAAGTGCGAGAGAGAGAAAGTGCGAGAGAGAGAAAGAGAGAGAAAGTGCGAGAGAGAGAAAGTGCGAGAGAGAGAGAGAGAGAGAGAGAGAGAGAGAGAGAGAGAGAAAGGGGGGGGGTGAACGGGGCAAGGGTTTGAGAGGCCAAGGAATAATGCAGAAAAGGCAGACGACAAGGTAACGAAAAGCTACCGTACTGACTGCGCATCGTCAGAATTAAATGATGATATATGTCTTAGCATGCACAGGGTCACGGCAAAAAATATATGTACCAGAATAGAAAGAAAGAAAAAAAAAAACAGTGACGGTTTTTTTAAGTAAGGGGTCTTTATCGTTCCGATGATGCCTTTTCGACACGACCTGTCTTTAATGAAAGGCCTCCCGAGGTCTGACTGTTGAGTGAGATAACGCCAGTCGACGTGTGTGGTGGGTCGTGACTCGGGCCTGTCACTTGAACCATTTGGTTTGCCCCGCTGAACAAGCGCCGAGTATCTCTCGTTTTTTTGTGTGTGTTTTTTTTTTTTTTGGGGGGGGGTTGTTTTGTTTTAGTTTTATACCTTAAGGTTGTTGGGGTTTTTTTTTACCATGAATTTGGTTTGGACTTGGACTGTTGGTTTTTTAGGTTTGTCTCCGAACACCGTGACATTTTTTTAGTTTATATTTGTGGTTGTGTGTGTGTGGGTGGGGGGGGGGGGGTTGTGTATGTGTTTGTGTGCGTATGTGTGTGTGTGTTTGTTTGTGTTTCGGCGTGTGTTTGTGTGGTTTGTGTATATTATGTGTATGTGTTTATTTATGTGTGTGTGTGTGTGTGTGTGTGTGTGTGTGTGTGTGTGTGTGTGTGTGTGTGTGTGTGTGTGTGTGTGTGTGTGGCTGTGTGTGTGCGTGTGTGTGTTCTTTTATGGGATGAAGTATGTGTGTAAATAAGAGAGATAGGAAAAAGCGACAGAGACAAAAAGACAAGCAGAGTAAGAGAGAGGAGAGAAGAGAGATAGATAGATAGATAGATAGAGAGAGAGAGAGAGAGAGAGAGAGAGAGAGAGAGAGAGAGAGAGAGAGAGAGAGAGAGAGAGGCGGGGCTTTATGCGCACACAGAAGATAGATTTGTACTTTCCTGATGAGATTTTATTAGACCATTTACTGTTTACAAGCGTAGCTCTTTTCATAAGTCATGTTTGTGCTTGCGTCATTCTCTTCTTTCCGTTTTCATTGATTCAGTGAAAAGAAAAACTTTTGAAACTGCCAGACATCCTTTCCGCTTTAAAAATCCCGCCCAGATATGAAGTGGATGCGGAGAGGAAACAGAAAGTACATAATACATGAAACTGCATCTGCCTTTCTTATTTTTAGGTCAGCCGTTAAATTTAGCTTTTCTTATTTGAAAGCATTCGACGGGGCGTCGCACGTCTTGAGAGACACCTCGATATTATGGAGATACGCCTCTTTCAAGTGCACGTTTTAAATACTTGTAGGTGAACCTTACGTTGTAACGTCAATTGAGGGAGGGGCAGCTTGTATTCAGAGGTGTGGGATTTTTCTCCTTCTTTTTTTTTTTCTTTTTTAATTGAAAACGTAAATATTGGACCAAACGTGGAAGAAGTGTGTTTGCGGTTTTGTATTTTCTTTTTGTCTTGCTCAGAATGTTTTGGGCTCTTTCTATGTTTGCAGAGATTGAGAAAAGTACACTGGGGTTCGTGGTGTAGCGATTTAAGCGTTTTGCTGTTGCAGGCAAAATACTTTAGGCGTGAAGGGGGGGGGGGGGTTAAAACATTGTAATAACAATTACGTAGTGGTATATTTGGAAATGTCTTCTCGCTTCTGTCTGATCATTGGTGTGCCAGTTTGGGTTTTCATAACTTCTGTAGCAGAAGATTTTGGGATGGGTTTTTTTTTTACCACAGAGTGTTTTTGTTTGTGTGCTTGTCTATCTGTTTCCATCTTATGTTGTCTGTTCAAGAATTATATTACGTCAACTTTATAACAAGTATTGCTATTGTTGTTGTTGTTGTTTTATTTATCATCACCGGTGTGTCGTTATCGTGTCTTTTATTTATCTTCCAAAAATCGCTCTCTCTCTCTCTCTCTCTCTCTCTCTCTCTCTCTCTCTCTCTCTTTCTCTCTCTCTCTCTCTCTCTCTCTCTCTCTCTCTCTTTCTCTCTCTCTCTCTCTCTCGTGTTTGTTTGTATGTGTGAGTGTGTGTATGCGTATAGGCCTATAAAAAATGTGCTTGCTTAAAGAAGAAAATCAACGATTCCAGTACCAGGGACTCTCTACATTGTAACTCAACAAACGTATTACTCAGGTTGTTATGACACGCCAGATCTGTTACTTGCTCGGGAATTTCACAAACGGTTTTGATCCCATCCATCCTCTCGCTATCCCACGTAACCTCTGTTTACTCTAACCTAACCCAGAATTCTTTCCGTCGTCTATAATTGGCAGTCTGTGAGTTCGCGATGGAGAGAAAAGTGGAGTCGCTTATATTATTGTAACCGTATCTCTGTAGGCGGGGGAGGGGGCATTGTCGTGGTATTGTATAAGTAGTCGTCATGGGCTTTGGAGAAACTGATACTAGAAAAGACACTCCTGTTTACTATGACGGAAGTATGCAAGCTCCAAAACTGTTATGGTATATATCTTAGAAGAGGGGACGAGTGGACAATGACTAGTGACGTCGTGTAAGCTTCGTTGAAATCGTCCAAGACGACCGAGGACCGAAAAATGGTTATTTAAAACATGTGGATGTTTTGAACAGTGTCATCATAATATTAGCACAGAGGGGGGAATTCGCAAATGGGGCAGTGAGAAGTGGTAGTTTGTACCGGAGAATGCCTTGGACATGTGGCCCTTAGAGAAGTTTAAGTTACGACTGTATTTGATGAACGGTGTTAGTTTTCATCTGTGTGTTGAGTCCCTTACCTTCTACCCATTCCGCTTCACCTTTTCACACTTTTTGCTTAAAAGCATCCCTCAACTGTGATGTGTAACCCTGTATAATATGCGTGCTGGTGACTTGGTTCAACGTCTTTTTTGCCGTATGCAGAAATCAAATGATAGGTGTTGGGCGTGTAACATTAGCTAGTGGATACCTGTAAAGTTTGGGGGGAGGGGTTGTTTTGCTTTAGTTCGTTTTGTTTTGGGTTTGTTTTTGTTTTTTTGTTTTTTTGCGGGGGGGGGGGAGGTTAAGACGCTTCCGAGTTGTTTTTTTCTGTTCAAGACTCTTCAAATACTTTGTTGCTTTTGCTGTTGTACACAGAGTCAATGTACGTGAGCTGAGAGAGTTGTCTTTCTTGAGCTCATGTGGTGTCCGTTCATTGCCATTTTTGTTCCAATATTTTTCCCATTATGTCCACGACAGTTGGTTGGTTAAGTCACCGTGATTCAGGCTTTCGCTTTCCCCTCCCCTTCTCTTCCCACTTCCCTCAATTCCATTTTCCTCCTTTACCCTCTACACCTTCTCCTCCTGCTCCTCCCCTCATTTCCCCTTCTCCTCCCCTCCTTTCTTCTCGCCTCCTTCTCCCATCCCCCCTCTCCTCTCTCCCCTCCCCTCCTTCTCCCATCCCTTCCTCTCCTCCTCCATTCCCCTCCACTCCCCTCGCCTTCCCTCCTCTCCCATCCCCTCCATCTCCCCTACTCCACCCCTTCCCTTTTTCTCCCCTCTCCTCTTCTCCCCTCCTCCCCCTCCTCTCCGCTCCCCTCCCCTCCCCTCCCACGCCGACTCGCCGAGGTCCTCCCCACACGACAGCTGTCAAAAGACTGCCACTCAGGCGTGTCTGCCCTGACACTCCAACCACACCAACAATCT